GATCTTTCAAACGCTAATATTATTCACACTTTACTGATATAATAAAGTAGCAATTCTGTTACACAGCATTTCCACTTGATTTAATGTGAAAAGATTTTTGGCGATTCTTTTTTGATTTGTCATGCATTTATAAGGGATCGAAAATGCGCCGAAAGTATTAGGTTGTTTGCCTTTAGTTCTATATATGTATGTGTAATGTTCCTAGCTATTTAATTTATGCAGATGTGCAGGGTGTGCATCAAAGATCTGAACATTTCAAAGAAATTAAGTAGAAAGAAATCCAACTGCGTGAGCAACATGTGGTATATGTTTATTTGCTAAGCAATGTGTAGAAGATTGTGGTAAAAGATAAGCACCGCTGTCTCCTTGAGGTAAGGGTTAGTATTTGACTAACCGCTAACCTGTAGGCTAGTATGTATGTATGCACGCATGCATGTATGGAGGTGTGTTATTACACGTGTAAGTAGACCAAGTTTGACCGTGTGTACATGCACACGAATGTAGTCATTATTGCACAGTCTCCTTCCTTAGCATGGAGACGGGAGGCAACTGTGCGCAGAGATTCGTTCGCAGAATTCGTACAGACCAAAACTTTTAGTGTGACCAAAGCGGAATGTAGGTGTGATGAGCTGCTGGATTATTTTCTGTGAAAGTGATTTTTGAGTCACAATACCTTAAATTTTATTTGTTGGCATAGCGTAAAAGGTACTTTCAAACCAATCAAGTATTTACAATGGCCAACTAGAAGTACAAAAAATTTGTTTATCCTTATTTGACGTGTCCATTTCTACGGATATTTTCAAGTAAATATAGACTTTTCAGGAAATTAACTTTGGAAATTGGCAATGCTTCAACGAGGAATTCAAATGCGAAATTGATTTTTTGTGCGTTATGAGAACTCACTTTTCAGGTAAATTTCCATTAGTGACAAGAGCAGGTTGGCTAAAATTTTGTCCTAAATTGCATTTTGCAGGGATTTCTGTAATTGCACTTTTTGTATTATAGGGTAGAGTGATGGCTGCATTCTCTTAGATTCTGGGTGTCAAAGTGGTAGTTAATTCTTCTAAGTAATTGCTTGAACAGTAAATCTCATGGAAATCATCTAGCTTTCAAAAGAAAATTGTTGTTAGGTATTATTTCTGTTTGACTTGTTTAAAGATGAGGAAACCCAAAATTCGCCTTTAGAAATCAACCATCATATACTTTATTAACTTAAACTAGTTCATTTAATATTAAACCTTACAGTGCTGATTCTGGTCTTAAATTTTAACACTATCCGAATTTAAGCCTCGTTGTCGGTCCCCTCAAACCCTCTTTAACTCTACATAACTGAATAGGCAAAATTCATCCTGATTTAACAATACATATGATTTATATGAATAGGAGTTCGCAATGCCTCACGCAATTCCGTTCTACCATGGAGTTGTCACAATGTGACTTAATACAGATAAATGGGTTGAAGCATGTGAGACGTGATTTGAAAGTGTGTGCAAATATGTGTGTGCTAAGAACACTAGAAATGGACTTAATTAAAAAGAATTCGGCTGTGATAAAGCATCTAATACGAGTATAACTATACAACCCATGCTAAAATTGGGTAATTTAGAGCTGCTCAGGTCCTCCGCATCCAATTGTCTTCATCTTAGCCACTGTTGTCATGATTCACACTCTTCGACATTTACTGAGACTCATATTCCTTGTTAACTACTTAATAACAATTTTCTAAAAACTTAATGCAAACATTTGCAAATTTAGGAGTGGTTTTTATTTTTTTAAAGTGCGCTAAAATTGTGAGTCGTAAAAAGCATACTTTGAGAAGGTAAAGCTTGACACAGAAATAATTACAAAATGCTTGACAATTCCGATTAATGCTATTATTATCTATGCAATTTCTCCTTATATATAGTCGCCTTTTTATTCTCGAACCACTGAAGTAATGCTAACACATCAAATGGTTACTACTTCCATGAAATTTTCTAGTCTATTTCTGCGCATAACTACGACCATGAAAACTTCATGGATTTATTCCAAGCCCTGGCCTTTTTAGAGAATCACTTTGTAGGCTATTGCACGCTTCATATGGCAAAATTGAATTATTATGGTGCACAAGGCCTAAGATAAGGTGTGCCATTAGTTAAATTGCAACAAACTGACTCAGAGCTACCATAAGAAATCGTTTGTGTGTTCCGTGGATGCTTAATAGTTTAAATTAAAGTGCAGTGAATTGATTTGAACATGTCAGAAGCACCATTTTTGCATTGTTGTTAAAATTCGAGATCGAGGTGCCTGTATTTGAGGCTTCATTTTTCAAAAGAATAGAAGAGAAGAGGATTAGATACGATACAACTGGTGATGGCCAAGGTATCGCGCTTTAAACCATGCAAAGCAGTATGAAACACTTCTCGTTCCATCATGACTGTCATTCGTAGTTTGGAGAATCTGAATTTTAATAAAAAACGAGGACCGCGCATAGTAGCGTGAGTATTTGGGGCCTAGAATTTGGATTTACTTTAAACATTTTCTGAGTTTCTTCTCAATATTTTACAGAAAACTTGCTTTTAAAATGCGTTGAGAGCGATGATTCCCTTATGATCCATTCCTTTTGAATGTCTATTAAATTGAGATCTGTTGAGTTTTGTAGGCACAATTGTACTTAGATTACATTAATCTCACCCGGTTGTAATAATAAACAGTAGGATGAGTAAACAGCAGCCTCATTGTTTCTAAAGTGCTTGCGAAGATTTTAAGGTAACCTTTACAACCTTGTCGAATTTTACTGAACCAAGAAAAACACGCTAGGCAAACATAGATGAATGAGGGATAAAAATTTATTCAATATATACCGAGGATTTTTGCAGTTCAGCCTTGTAAAATTGCTGATCATTAGATGATGAGCTTGGACATCCTAAGAGAAGAAGGTTTTGTCCTTAATTAGAATCATTTCAGGAACCATCCACGTTAAAGTTCCTGGTAAATCAAAATCTACAAGCTGTTCCACTCTTCCTTGAATAACTTCAAGAATTCGGAAAGGGTACTTAAAGGGCGATGTATTTAGCAACAGTGTTGCATTGTAGAGGAATTGTTACATTCGTTACTTTAATGGAACAGTTTTAATTTTATGGTAGCAACACATACCTAAAAACTAAAACAAGTGTTTAAAGTAGAACCTTGGCATTTCCAATTTATTCATTCATTTATTTTATGTAGAACTATTCACGCCTAATTATTTTCAAAATTGAAAGTGTTCCTTGGTTGTCATTGTGGTTTCCCACATAAATTGCATATAGCAGTCAAACTGGGTTGCGCGATTCCTTTCACTAGAATTCAGAATTTCAGGAACCCTATTTTTAAAAGACTCTAAAATATGTCAGCCGAAATTGACTTTATCATCAAGCACCAATCTCCATTTCACTGATGGTTTCTCGTATACCAGCGTGTATACAAACTGAATTTCTTGCTAACGCCTATTTATATCATGATCCTAGAGGTATGGAGTTATTATGATTCACTTCATCGACATGGCTATTTACAATAGGCTCATCAGGAGCTTCTAGAGCCATCAAATGAAAGTGAAAGTGACTCGTATTTCTCTCCCTCGCATTACCCGGATTACTCCAAATAGAATGCATTTATTTTAACCTCAATACGGGTCTAAAATTAGCCTTTTCTTGTTGCTTCACATCTCTATCTAGCACTAAAGCTTTAGTAAAATTGTATCCGGCTGTTTGAATTGATTCACTTTTTTTACAACATTTGCCTGTATGTATGCATGTACTCACGCATCCGGAGTGTGTGGCCCGACTTTCTATTTCGGAAGTTAAAGCAGAACACTGATGTCCTCATTCTCAAACATTTAGACGTGTCACGTTCAAACATGACCTTTACACTGGGCTACGTACATTATTGTACCTCACTCTGAAACACCATAACTCATGGTGCATGGACTCACCATTACTGCCTTCACACCAAAGTACTACTTATCGCTATGTGACTCTAGGTAGCGGTTACTCAAAGCAAATTTTCTATATACTGTACGTAAACTATTTGATGGGTCCAAATAAACTTAGACTCTTCGTTTTCTTTGCTCAACTAAAAGTCGTTGCTTCTCATTACGCGAGGCCTTTTTTAGGGGAGAAGTGAAATCTGGCCGAACGGAGAAAACTTGTTAAAATTTTTTTGTTAGACATCCATTCGTGGAACATCAGCTGACTTTTACATGCACAGGGCTTATAGGAAACTGAAGTTTTACCGTTTTATTTATAAAGTTCATAAATTGCATTAACAATAAAACTCTAAGCTGATATTCTTACCATCATAATGGATCTTTAAATTTTAAATGAAAATATGGAAACCATGATGACTTCTATTTTTACAACCTGACTACTTTGGGTGATTGGAAATCGACTGCTTGAACCGGCTGGGGACCATCCATAAAGATGTTCTCTTCCCATGGGGAGGCAACTCTATGAGTTATTTTCAACACTGGATCCTTATCCATGGAGTGGCACACGATATCGCTGTGGGCCTATTGAAGCTATCTCGATTAGCCCTTTTGCAGACCTTGATTAGAATTTCGTTTTAGTCATAGTCCCAAACCTAGCGGACATTATATTAAAGCGAGTGTAGAAAGAAAAAGTAAAAAAATTAAACGGCTCATAGGCTTATTTTGTTTATTGCTTTGTTTAAAGATGGGTTTTACAAAAAAGTGTTGCGTTCTCACTCACTAATGCGTTTTCCCTATTCATACCTGTGGCATTCCAATAATGCTGCATCAGCCGTACCTGCACTGAGCGACGTTTTCTAAGCAGTATACAAATCTCGATATCGAAAATAGTCAATCGGAGTTTGTCGGGCTAGTTAAGGGTTGGAATTGCTTCACCCGTTTTGAACATTTGAGGGAAAATCGTGGATAGGGAGAATATTCGAATGAATTTTTCTACACTTTCAAGGAATATTTATTCCATCCAGATGCCTTTCGAATTAATCATTGATTGTGTCATTTAGTAGAAATCCATGTTTCGCATTGCATACTCGTTGTCTCTCATCTCCACCCCAAAGGCGTGCTTTGATGGGACTGCGGTCTCCTCAGCAGATGTACGCTGGTACCCCTCGAAGGTGGGTTTCGAATTAGTAGAGTTCGGAGGATAGTCGGTGGTGGAGGAGAGGGCCTCAGGGTTCATATTGCTACTGAAAATGCTCGCTGTGAGCCGCTTTGAAGAATCGCAGTCCGAGATGCAGTGATTAAAATAGGATCGACAGATATCTGAGCATCCATTCTCACACTCCCGCCGAGGCTCTCTTGGACCAAAGAGGAACATCGTCTGCCCACTGTAACCCGAATAAGGCGGAGCAGAACCCGGAAAAAACTTGGTGTCGGGTGGTGGGATTGTGGACTCGAAGGCGCTGAAGAGCTCCTTTGGTTCTGACGTCAGCGAGAAACGACCCTCGTTAGAGAGCGGTTGCAGCATCTCAGACGTCGTCTGCATATCGCTTTTTGTGCTGTTCATATCGTTTGGTGAACTTCGACCGCTCGGAACGTCATCATCTTTGTTCTCGTGTAAGATGCCATTGTTAGATGACTGTGACATGGTCACCAATTGATCCTCTTTTTCTTTGAATGCTCTTTTGCATTTGTAGCGATGGTTTTGGAACCATATTTTCACCTAAATTGGTGTTCACGGATCTCTTTAGCTTTATTCCACACGATGTGCTTTCTCCAATGTTCCAAATTTAAAGTAGGAAGTTAACTTCTTGCTCTGTGGAAACAAGCTTACTATCTTTATGATCAAAATCCTTTACAAACAATTCTAAACATTTAAACCGTAGAATTTTACCATCACACAAAATAAACAATTTGTTCCAATTATTTACTAGTTAGGTAACCAATAACTAATTGATGATACAAATTGCTTTGTGAGTCTCAAGTCAAAGTCTGACGTTGTTGTCACCATCCTCTAGAGTTTCGCCTGGCAGAATATTCATAAGCTGGCTTTTATTTTTCTTAAATAATATTTGTGAAGGACTATATCTACCCCTTGTTCTCTATTAATATGCTTATTCTCTTCCATGAAAAACCAATTCCTCGTAAAATTGTTGGATTAAATACGTATTTATCCACAGGGGATGGTTAGCTGTTTATGCAATCATTGACTGTTCAATAGGTGAAATTTCCCGCTTAAATAAGATTTGACGTCAGTTGTTTGACTTGCAACAATCTGATTTTCAAATAATGTAATTGTTTCTACCATTTCTGCTTCACTTTTTAAGCATTTAGGCATGATATAAAATAAGTTAGTTAATTTTATCCAAAAAAAAATATTCCTATCGCTTTTACTTGCGTCGGCGTTAGATTGATCAGCTGGGCCAGGTGTTCTCTCTCGGGTGCGTTGAGGTACTTCTGCTGTTTGAACCGCTTTTCCAGTTCCAGCACCTGCACCTGACTGAAGAGTACTCTCCTCTTCCTTCGTTGGCTGAATTGTTGCGGATGGTGTCCAGTGCCAACTTGTGTCTTTTGCTGCGACTGCGGTGTTTGTCGATGTGCTGCCAAGGCCACAGCCATCGCAGCAGCCGTTCGCTGCGTTTCGTAGTCCCTGTTGGCCGACTGACAGGCACCTGGCGTGAGGCCCGGTGGTGGTATCATCGGCGATGTCTGCGATGGCGGTTGTTGTATCGAAGGTGAGGTGTAAGCTGGAGTGTAGGGAGTGTAGGAAGATAGAGCAGAGACGCTAGAGGGCTGTGAATAGAGGAAGGGTGCCGAGGAAGGAAAGGAAGAGGGCATGGAAAGACCAATTTTCTGCTGCAGATTTGTCTCCTCCAGTGGTGTGTTGCGAGACTGCAACGCCATTGGGCAGGGATTGGCGGCACTGACCGCATTCGTCGCACCCATGAAACAACTGACTAGATGAATAAAAATGATGTATTCTATAAGGTCCTATGCTTTAATTTAATTTGCTTTCAATAAAACATTAACATATCTTCATTCTAAAATGCCTGGGATCTAGTCAATCAAAATAACCTCGGGTGAATTACCCAATTTCTAGTTGATACGGCGAATTTAAAAGTACATTCCCGCCTTATTTTGCAACGAGAGCGCAAAATTGGCATTGGAATTAAATATTTTTCTCTACGTAAGCAAGTTGTGGCTTTGGGTCGAATGTGTATCAGCCACTTTCATACAGCTCTGCTCAGAATAAAACAGCATGGACTTTTGCTAGAAGAAACATTTATGTTATTCCTTTTTGTTTTCAGTTTTATTTTATACATTCCAAGTTGTTACATTAGATTCTATTCTACTCTGTAAAATTTGAGCTCCTTTCGGCTAGATTCGTGTAATGGCCTATGTAGTGGTTTGGAAAATTGTAACCTGACTGACCACAACCCCAAAAAAACGTGGCAAAGCTCGGAAAATGGCTTAGTAACACTACAACCATCACTAACTACACAGTTCCAACTTGGATGTTAGAGTTTCTAGGTGGCACTATTCTTAGACGCATGTGATCTTGATGGCCAATATGCATTTTCCCCTTATTCCATCTCTCTTGAATACCGAAAAAGCCGCATTTATGTTTAGACTTCGAAAATTTGAGAACGAATTGAAGGACCACGTGTTGTACACTATTTTTAAATCCTTCAGATGATTGCTTTCAGGTCATGGCGTGGCTAAACCTGTAAGGGTATAGCAACAGGGATTAAATTCGGTTTGAATCCCAACCATCCCTGAGAGTGACTGTGATGATGAAGCCTTAAGCCCGAAGGGGTCTATCTTCGTTAGCTTAAGTGGCAATTTTAGGTGAGTTAATAAAACCCACTTCGAGGGAATATGGGGTGTTGAAGGTCGGGATTAAGTAGGGTTTGAACTGCTCTTTGGACTAGGGCAAGCAAAAGAGTCCCTTTTTTCTTAAAAAAACCCCCAATTTAAGTCGATAAGATCAAAAAGGTAAAATAAACATAACTTTCAACTTAGATTTCAAAATTTATTGTTCATCTTATAAAGTAGCGAATATATAGAAAGAGCTTTCCCTAGCACATCCATAATTAATTCTTATGTAATTAACTTCAGTGTTGTGGAAACACAAACATCAAGAACTACGAAGAGGAAATTTCAGTAAGCATAACGCGAGATTTTAGCGTACGTATATGCAAAATTTGAATAAATTGTAAAAGCCTAAGTAACTTACGTCTATCAAACAAGTTCATTCGCCAAAGGAATCAGATAAGGGCCAGTCAAATCTTGTCGCACATCAATAAGGGTTGTACTTGGACAAACTATGTTTCGCGTGCTTAATATCTAAGTGTAGCGTTACAAGAATTGCCGTATTCTTACTTAAATTAGGTTGTTAATCTTTGCGAATTGTACCAATTTGCCAAGGAACTCATTAACTTTGGCAACCTTATATTGATGGTACCATGGAAAATAGTTCTAATTTTTTCAACATCACCTCGAATGCAAAGCACTTTCTAATCTCGAGTTCATAAAATTGCAAATAAAACCGTCTCTTCACACCATTTTTCCACCCTTCATTTGAAAGTTTTGAAAAAAACTTGTTTTTATGTACGATAAATGGAGTAAGAAAACGACAAAGAGTAAAATCTTGTTGAATTCGAACAAGCTGAGTCGGACTGCCTACTTGAAGACTTAAAATAAAAAAGCACTGATAAAGTAGAGCTCAGCATTAGGTGATCAGCTCATTTCGTTAATTGTCACTTTCTTCTCGGTTGTTCCATGGACATGATAGCATCCCATTAGTCATCCTAAGCGTACACATTGCTTGCAATGGAAGTGCAAGTTTCACTTATCGAGAATGGATAATTGGTATCAACGTATCAAGCAGCTGTGAAAACACATTAAACCTCAACAAATTAGTTAATCTAGGTTAAAATTTGCTAAATTCTTGCATTTAAAATTACACATGTGAATAAAAATGGCAGAAACACAAATGACTCTGCATTCATAGCTATGGCTTTTATTTGAATAAAATAAATGCTATTTTGATGCACAAATATGAAAAGTGTGGAGTAATGCTATTTTTACTCTATGCGGCATTGAATGCCTTTCCTTCGTAGCTGTGTAAATAAAGAATTAGATTTATTGCTAGACGTAAAGTGTGACAAACTTATGGCCTCAGATCGCCTTAAGTACCCCTCAACCCCTGTTAGATACAAATTAGATTACTAATAAATAGACAAAAGCGAAAATGTTACAAATCAATGGGTTAAAATCTCTTAACGGAAGTTGAAACGGAATATTTAATTAGCTAGAAAATGTAAAGCCAGTGGTATAGTAAAGCTTCCCATTATCTTCCTTATGTTTTATTGTTAATGAATATTGTATGTCACCCCATTTTAGATTAATGCGACTTGGGTCCCAAAAGCCACAAGGGGTAATCAACTAAGACCGACTAGGCCTTTTGAGTAGGTGAGATCCCAGAAATGTGTAACAGAGCCAAAT